GGGCTATTAACTAAGGGCATTCTGGCAAAAAGAGGCACTGTCGCTGAGACCCTAGTGGTACCCGGGGAACATAAACACCATTGGGTAATCATAAGTGGTTAGACAAAGAGCAGGCAAAGTATTTGCCGAAATTGTAGCAACAAAAGTTTTAACCGTAGCCTTTGTCGTATCTGCATTTGAAAGAACGGTAAAATAATTGTAGGCATCATGAATACTGTAGTAGCAGCCTTATGCTTATGATTCTATTGAAGCGTCCTTTTAAGAGGTTGTTCCTAGGCGACGGTTTAGTCCCAGGCACTTATTGAACGATTTGCGAGGTAGAAACTAATTGTATAAAAAACCTATAAGTGGACGCCAAATTATTCCCTGGGATGAGTAGGAAGATATGTTAGGATGTCGCTGCGCCGTCCCGAACTCTGGGAAATATGACTGATGATGTTGTGAGGTCAACATCGCTGACCGTACGTATTTCTTTAAGCTAGGATGGTCACTGTTAAGGTAGTCAATAGAGTGAAATAATGAGGAGGGTCTAAACTATGTGCAGCACATATACAACATGCAACTGGGCGACCCTTTATTTAAGGGACTTTTATGGCTTAAATAATGTAGAATGTAGAAGGATGCTTTGGAAGGGGCTTTAAGATTTGTTAATTCCTTGAAAGCTCGCTTACTCAATTTCCTGTTGTACATATTCAATAACCTAGACTTTAGCTGTAATTTGTTTACCCCGTTATCTCTCAAATTATTACTTTTTTCAATTTTTTTTTTTCGTTTCCGTTGTAAACTTATTCGCATTTGGAGTCCCCCCGAACAGAAAAACTCTGTAATAATGTTAAATTTAGTTTACTTATGTAGATACTGCATTTTCTCTAATTTGGACACTGGCATGATTTTACATAACAGAAGCTATATGTACAGTATGAGAACATATACATTTATATCTCATAATTATGACCTTACTAGAAAGGACCAACAGGAGAGGAATCATAGTCCAAACGTCAAAACTACGTATTATGATATTGAATTAAATATGTATATCGCTTGTATCCATGCTACTTCAGCATGCTCAAGCTATGGCTGAAACCAAGCAAGGCAAGGCGTTGTATTCCATTTGCTGCAACATTGTTAGCACTTGTTTTTGCACAATTTACGCTGGCAGCGACGCTGTTTATCCCTCTTCACCAAGCAATGCCCCCACGCCATCGTGTCGCACCATGTCAGCTGCTGTTGGTAGACTGGGCATCCTGGGTCTTTATTCATACTTTCGTTTGATAGTGATCTTCAAATAAACTATGGCAAGTTCTCGTCTGAAAACCTTCAGTGATATGAAAATCCCGCCATGGATAACAGTGTGCAGATTCCATGCATTCCCTATTGCCATGTCAATGCTTAAAATAAATAGGGGTTAGTGCCATACCTTTCAGCGTATAGAAACACATTATTTTGGAACAAGACAGTCAAGAAGGTGAACACTGTCCATGTATGCAATGTAATGAGAAATCAAGTTGGGCATTTTCAACCTGATTTTTTTCCTTTACGTCTTTTTGGCCTATACATTATGAAACTGCTTAAGAGATTCATGATTGGTGGCAACTGTTAAAATATTATTATCGTTCTAAGGCAAGACGTTCTGTCGTAGACGTATTCGCTGGCACCACAATTTGATTATTTCATCTCTTTTGATAAATTAATTGGGCATTTTCTATTGATCATGATTTCTCTAATTGAGAGATGTTGCTCGAAATCCTGTATGTTCTAGTTGAGAGAGTGCATCCATGTTTGTGAAGAAGTTATAAAAATATAGAGTAAAGCTGATTCGATCAGCACTATGATGTACAGCAGGCCTGCACAACCTACGGCCCGCCAGCACCCACTTTGTGGCACGCGAAATATTATCAATCATTATTATTATTTTCTTAATATTTTTCCCTCCTTTCCTGTCTTATTTTGGCCCGCACAAGTCGTGTCCTATTTTCTTTTAGCCCGCACAAGATTTTCATAAAGTATTTTGGCCCGCGTTACATTTTGAGTTGTGCAGGTCTGATGTAGAGCATTCAAGACAACACGAGAACCACGTAGGACATTTGATTTGTTTCCATACAAATAAAAAATGAGAAGGTATAACAGTATCTTTCGATGGAGCATATGGCCCAATATTTCTACCCAATTCTGATAGTTTTTCCCCTTTTAAAATGTTTCAGGCTGTTTCTCCCATACTATTTCACGATCATTAATTCTATGGCAAATCCATTCAGAACAGATGTCTTTGGGAAGGCTAAATTATTAAGCTATATCCAATGCGGCTCAGGACAAGGACGTTTCTTCTTCATTGGCCTTTTTGCCAGAGGTCTAGAACGTGTCGATGGTTAATTCCTTTCCAGTTCATCGTTATCCCCTTTATTTTCAGACAACGTCTTACAGATTTCATCGTCTATGTCTTCTCCAACCATGTCAAATCCTACCTCTGCGGGAACATGAGCAAGAGTTGCATTTCCTGCATTGGTCACGTCCTCACCCTCTTCGCCTGACAATGCAGCAGTATTTGGCAGCAGCACACATACAGTAGGTTCTGAGTATACTTCCTCGCACTTTTCCCAGAAGCTGTCATACTTCTTCCAAGTTGATACAACTTCTTGGAAGTCTCACTACGCAAAAAAAAAAATAAAAAAATAAAATAGATACACTTTAAATATAGGTCCTAAATGAAAGCCATCATCCCAATGTCCTATTCAAGGGACAGTGGGAAATGTCACAACATAACGTCTATGTAATTATGATTAGAATACAATTAGCAATACAGAGATGTAGACAGTTGACTTACGTTGCGTTAATCTCTCCGACCCTAGCACAACACGCCGTAGCATGCAAGGAGCGTGGGAAGCTGCCTCCAAAGACGCAATGCACAACTCGCCGCCCAAATGCAACATGACACATGGCCGCCTTCGCGTAAGTATTGCGACACAGACCCTCAAGTCTGCTATTGATGTATCCCGGATCACGTGGTGGCTTCGGTGCGACAGATATATGCCTACACGTAGCTGTTCTACAAATAGAACACGGGAAGATAAGTGACGGAAGGTAGCCCACGTACTCTGCTTCACACTAACGTCCTTGCCTATTTGATCCAATGGCCATACTTAATCAAGACTACTTTAAATAGACTTTTTAAAAAAAATTAAGTTACAATAGAAACATTTATCGGATTGCTATGAAAACATTATGTCAACAGAGCCTGTAGGGCGAGAGGTGATATCAGAAAGCGGGGAGTGGCTGAAGAACACGAGATTTTATGCACTTGTTGACACAAAGTGGCCACACTGATTTCGAAATTAGTTCAGTTGTTGTAGATAACAAATTTCAGTCATAGTAAAGCATATATATTTATTAAGGAAAATTTGGCTTATTTATAACGCTATACAAATTCATTGTGCTAAAATTAGTTTTATCTCAATTATAAGCTAGCATTATATGTTCTGTACGCAGACTGAGTTAATTAACCAAAGCAAGCAATGCAATGGGATATTTGTTCCGTGCTTTGTCCCAAATTATATTGATCAATGTAAACGGTCAGCAATCGAGCATGGGTTAGATATCTGCTTAGGCGTAACCATTAGACAGATCAATAATTTCATTCGTATATCAAAAGTGTTTTAATGAAATGAATGTTGCCTCTTCCTTATTTAATATTTGGTAAGAGAGAAAAAATAAATCAACCAAAAAAACAATAATGCTGGATAAAGTTTCTTTACAATATTTGATTGTTTTATAAATAATTAAAAACACTGAGTATTCATTAGTATATTTTTGAGAGAAAACATGGATGCTATCTGGTGTATCCTATTACTTTTAGAGAAAACATGGGTGCTATCTCGTGTATCCTATTACTTTTAGCGAAAACATGGATGCTATCTGGTGTATCCTATTAATTTTAGAGAAAACATGGATGCTATCTGGTGTATCCTATTACTTTTAGAGTAAACATGGATGCTATCTGGTGTATCCTATTACTTTTAGAGAAAACATGGATGCTATCTGGTGTATCCTATTTTTTTAGAGAAAACATGGATGCTATCTGGTGTATCCTATTACTTTTAGAGAAAACATGGATGCTATCTGGGGTATCCTATTACTTTTAGAGAAAACATGGATGCTATCTGGGGTATCCTATTACTTTTAGAGAAACTGAGGATATTTGCGTTTTTGTTGTTTTTTTTGGTTGAGTTTTATTTACTTTTATAGAAGACGTGGATGCTGTCTTATGTAATTTATTTGTTTTGTGTTATAACTTCATCGATGTCTGCAGGAAAAGAAATATTACATTTTTTAAACAACAATAACTATTTAGAAAGATCCCATGAACACAGTTTCAATTGATGAAATCAAAGGAGAACGTTCCACTCAATCAGGAGCATATGCCCCCCCCTCCAACATTTCTGCGAGATTTCTCCTTTGTTTAAGCGGATTATGTGCATTTTTGGAAGTACCTATCTGTGAGAGAATCTCTTTTCCAATATGAAATTCAACAATTTAAAGTTTAGGACCAAACTTACTAATGGGCATCTTCAAGCTCTACTGAGTGTCTCAGTTGCTTCCTCACTCAAGCAAAATAATTCTCAGCTGTGTGAGACAAAGCGCTTGCCAGGTCTCTGGCAACAAGGAGTAGGAGGAAGTAAAGAATCCTAGTTCATGAACAACTGTAATGGTTTTTTTGGTATTAATAAAGTTTGAGCAGATTTTAACAGATGTACTTTTTTAAACATTTGTTTAACGCGTGTTTGTGTGTGTGTGTGCGTAATACTTGATGCGGCCCAGTATCACCCAGACTCTTCTCCCTGCGGCCATCGGGTAATTTGAGAGCCTTGCTCTAAATACTATCGTACCTACGCTGATATTATCTGGGTTCGCCGCTGATGATTTACTCGACATAAACAACCTCAATTGTGGACATTTTCCTTTTTTCAAATGTCACAATCATCATCACAGATTAGTTTTCCCAGTAGATATTTTCAACACACGCAGCACAGATTAGGAAACTGTCGAGTACATTAACTGTGCAGAGATGGGTGTACATGGTGTAGTTGTCACAAAATGAAGTCACTACAATGCATCCTTATCCAAATGTTATTGGTTGTCCAATCAGCCGGTAAGCCATCATATGATATCCTCACACATCCGATCACAACTTTTTACATTATGTATTATTGTTATTTCTATTGATTTATTATTATCAATGATAATAATATATATAATATATATATATATATATATTTACAATTTTTAACTATATTTCTAGTTCGTCAGTCACCATTGATTGATTGAGTGATTTTTTTATATATCGCACTGGTTTCCACGCCACTTTAGCATGCTCACTGCGATCTGGTTTTCCAAAAACTATTTAAAAAAAAAAAAGTTTGTTTTGAATTGTTTCTTAAATCATTTTTTAATCATTTACAATTCCCCTCAAAGATTGAGGCAAACTGTTCCATAATTTTTGCGCTATCGCTTCAAAAGAGCGCACTCCATAAGACTTTTTTCTGTGTTCTTCCATACTAGGAACACTCAGTAAGTACTGTGTTGAAGACCGCAGGCTCTTCAAGGATACATGTTTATAAATCAGTTGTTTGAGATAGTCCAGTGCTGAGCCATCTATGCAGCTGTACGCAAGGGACAAAATTTTGTAGTTAATGCGTTCACTCACAGGAACCCAATGGAGATCTCGTAGAACTTAGGTGATGTGGTCAGATGACCACATTTATTCTTGTATCTGCTAGTAAAATGTACATGCACATAAAGCTAATGAAGACCATGTTAGAAATAACTTTAGTAAATTTTAACATTAAGTGAATGGTATTATTGTAGTTTAGTTGTCATATCCGGTATTATCATGATAACTCAGATCGCATGTAGAAATGTCGTATTTAGCGGGTCAAATTGCGTATCGTGCGTATTGGGGTATTAAGAACACGAAACTAAAATAAATACTCTTTTGTTTCTGATTTATTCTCCTACAAAATGTTGCGATTTATTTAATCTGAACATTAAAAACCGCACATAGTACAGTTGTTATTTAATATGACTACATATCTGTGTTAAGTATTTTTAATAATAGAATTTAAAAAAAAAACAACTTATAATGAATTTTGTAAAATGTATACTAACTAAAAATATCCACAACAGCTCTCCCACCTTGCTCCTTCAAGCAAGGGATCGGGATTCGCATGACATGTGACGTCAGCCAGCAAAACGTGACGTCACTCCAGTGGCGGGTGGGCGGGTTGAGATCGGAGATCAGCCCTCACCTTACGACCTGCGACATGCACGGCTGTGACAAGCAGAACTACGAGGGAACTCACACGTTTTTGGCCACTGTCCAGCTGGACCCTACCTCTACCCGTATTGTCAACAGCAGCTTGCGGCTGCCCGGGGATCCTTTCTTCAGTTACTTCGTCGGTGACTACGACTGTGTTCCTGATGGGGGCCAGGCGATAAGAATATGCGATGACCTCAGCTATTACGGTTGGGCAATGCATTTCTAGTTTTGATAGTATTTAAATATAACAATGTGGAAAAACAATGTAAATACGATAAAGAGGCATATGGTTATAGACAGTTACATCATAAGAGAGAATGGTGACGAGTGGGAGAGTAAAACTTAATAATTGAGAGAAGAGGAAAGGTATAGGGAGACACTCGTTAATGTACTCTTTGGTAGCGAATAAAAAAAAAAATCCTTTTTTTTTAAGTCTATGCTATTGGAAATTGTATAACTTAGTATATGTTTAATATTAAGCAGAAATAAGAACTAGTTTTGTTAAGAAAAACACATTTTTTTTAAAAAGTGCATAACTGATATATATACATTTTAAATAAATATATCATAATTTAATATAATCAGACATTAAAGGAATACATATTGGATGAATACTTATTATATTGAAAAAAAAAATTATTTTTCTTCCAAGCTACACTATTTTAATGTACAGTTCAAACTGTTCATTCCTATGTGTGTGTATCTTATAGATGACCCAACTCCTCCTGTATGTGGACCCCCGATAGTGGCAGATGAAATAGTCAAACTTACTTGTAAAATTGATAATGTCTACCCTGATCCACAGTGCAGAATAATCCTAGCATCAAATGTAAGGCGGTCCTAATGTGACTTATGTTTACATGTTAACATTAACATTATGTTCAAGTTAGGGTATGTGCGTTCGTTATAATACATACTTTTTAAGCTATCTTGTTAGTGTGACTGTGTTTGTATTTGCTCTTTTCATTTGTGAAAAAAAGATATAACAATTGCCGAGCTATGATTTTAAAAGGATATGCCAACATGTATTCATCTCAAAACAGATTTTATAATTGTATCATTAGCGAAACGCTAAGAAAGGGAGGCAATAAAGATATTTGTTGAAAACTTTAAAAAAAAAAAAAAAATCTTACACAAGTGTACTAAAAACACAGTTTAAGGATAGAGCCTAGTGTTCTTGAACATTCGTTTTAAATTTTTTGAATGAATAACATCTCAATACTGGTCATCTTGAATCATTCCCCCACCCCCTCAGAGGCTCAAAACTTAATGACTTAAAGTTAATTAAGAATAATAACTTCTAGATTTTGTATATTATTATTTTTAATGTTTATGACGGTTATTTTATAGAAAAAGAATCGCCATATTTTATTGTAATTATTATTTATTTTTTTGTTGCTTACAATGTATTTTTCACGGCAATGTAGGCAGTTAAAGGTAAATAATGAAGAAAAAAAAGAAATATAGTATGTCACAGCTGAAACTATCACTATTATATCAACTTCACAAAGCAATGCTTGATAGAATAAAATATCTTTATTAACCTAACTACATTGTCAACTGCCATTACTCAATCACAGCAACCTACGCAAAAAATCCGTCATGTCCCCGGAGGCACAATAAGTCACAAGATACCAAACACTTAACAGCATCATCTACTCAAACGCTGCAAAACAACACGTAGTCACTAAATACATTCCAGACCTTATGAGGATACTTTCGTTAAGTTTAATTTTCTTTTTTTTTTCTTTTTTTTTTCTAAAACTAAAATTCAAAACAATGCTAAACTTGTGTTATTTTATTGCTTAGCATCTTTAAAGAACAATCACAATTAGTATCAATTATTGTTTGATGACTAATCTTCCTTGAAAGGTTTTTTTTTTTGTTTTTCTTTTTTTTTTTTTAATTTTTAAATTTCGTTAAGTTTAATTTTCTTTTTTTTTTCTTTTTTTTTTCTAAAACTAAAATTCAAAACAATTCTAAACTTTTGTTATTTTATTGCTTAGCATCTTTAAAGAACAATCACAATTAGTATCAATTATTGTTTGATGACTAATCTTCCTTGAAAGGTTTTTTTTTTTTGTTTTCCTTTTTTTATTTTAAATTTTAAAATAGGGTCAAGTTCGGAATATCGCAACAGGAGTAGTTGCGGAAAGTTCCCAGATGGGAGTCAATCCCGATAACATGAGCTTCTCTGCAGTCTGTAATGTGTCGATACCACTCAGGGACTTAGGAGTCGGCGACCACGTGTTTCAATTGGTGGCTTCCGTTAACTTCAACGATACTGAACTTGCCCAGGTCTACAGCAATAACGTTTCGTTAATTATCTCGAGTAAGAAGCTAGACCTTTAAAACATGCTAAAATTGATTCGATTGTTTCAGAGCTATAATTAGAGGCAAACTTATTAGTATCCATATTTTACATGATGTTTTTATTTGTTTTCTTACGTTGTAATTATTATGTTACACTTTTTAATCACATTTTAAGTACCATCCGTAAACTCATTACAAATTTACAAGCCTAACACTGATATTTTACATGTATACATTTATGTTTCATGCCATTTTTTTGACATTGCAGTCACTTTATAATTAGTTAGTACTACAATTGTTATTTGTTTTGGATTTTGCAATTTAATTGCAAATTTAAATACTTTATTTATCGCTAAATTTTTATAAAATTATGATGCATACATGCATTAATATATTTTATACATTAAATGGTATATACATAGATGTATATATGTATAGATGTATATATGTATGTATATATATATATATATATATATATATATATACATACATATTTATATTGTTACATAAAGGACATTATTTTAACTTCCCATTAAATTATTATGAAATATTGTCAAATTCTCAACAGACGCGCCACAGAAGCCAAACTGTATGTACCCGGTGATAAACTCGATCAGTAAAAACATTATCTTGGAGTGCTACACCAGTTACGTACATCCGGCTCTAGGCTGTGAAATGGCAGCGTTTAAAAATGTACGTGAAAATCACTCATTTACATAAATAACGTAACAGTCTTTTGCGTACTATAATTTAACTTAGTGAAATATATGGAAATACTTGAGAGCCTAATGCATTAAAGTTGGTAATCTGATATATATATATATATATATATATATATATATATAATATAATTTATCTTTTACGTAGCATTGCATGCGCCTTTTTTCGTATTAAAATACTATAACCTCGTTTTCTTTATATATATATTTTTACTAAAGTTAATGTGCCTTCAATCATAAAATTATACTACTTTTCAACTTTAAAAACTTAGAAATAAATATATAACATTTGCCTAAATGATCGATTTTTCTTCTCATCTTTTAGAACATTCCACTTGTCAGGCAAGCAAATGTCTCGTACATTAACGATGTCGCCTTATATCAGGCTAAGAACATCTTTGTGTCCAAGTGTTATTTCTCAATCCCACTTTCCCGTATCGGCCCCGGCTCATTCGAGTTTAGGGTCACTATGTACACCGATGATAACAACGCCACCGATATTAACCGGACACGCATTACGGGGGACTTGACCTCACCATTATTGCTGAGTAAGCTTGACACATTGTACATGTTAAACACACAGGATATCAATGCATCTTCATTAGAAAAAAATAAAATAAAGGAATGCATCGTTATTCTTCAGAAGATTTAATATTATTCCACGGCGCATGGGACTTCTCGATTCACACTGTGTATTACAAATCATTTTAATTTAATGTGTTTTTTCTGCTATTTTGCGAAAACATCCGACTTCATTTTTAAGAGTACATCTTTTTAGTTTTACATTAATGGTTTGTTTTTTGTTGTTTTTTTTTTTTTTTTGGTTAAAAGATTAAACGTAGCCGCTGTGATAGTTCATACTTGTGAGGTTCAGAAAGGCATAGTTGCATTAAGCTTTGTTAGTGTACAGCAAAAGTTCAACCACTAGTTTAAATTATTCCCCATTTGCTTTCTTTCTAAAACTAGAAAAACCTTTTTTTAGCTTCATTTAAATCTTTTAATTTATAAAAATAAATTTAAAAAAATGTTTTTTTGTTGTTTTTTTTGTTTTTGCTTTGCTGCAATTTGAACCATGTAAGAGTATGATTTTTTTTTTTTTTTTTTTTAAAGAAAACAAATCATCCATATCACGAAAAATAGATCAGATAGTAGGGAAATAATGTGACTGTTTATAACAAGACTAAATTATTTGAATGAAATAAAAGTATATTAATAGAGTAACTGAGGGAGAGTATACTATTTACTTGGAACTCGAAAAGAGTAACTGGTGCAGCGGGAATGGATTCGTGCTGGTGCCACCCGGGGTGAGAGCTAATATATTTGCCACCCTCATCTAGGAAATAATCGCTGCCCATACCGCTGCAAATTCCGTTCCTAAGAATAAAGAAAATATTGACCCCTGGGGTGTTTGGTCCCCAGCAACACACTCCCCACGACTCAGAATAAGAGGGACAACTAATTTATTGTTTCTAAAGTTATATGATTATGAACAGTTCAAATTTAAAGTTTTGAAATCTTTTTTTTTTTTTCAAAACAGAAATTCCAACGCTGAAAGATTTAAGCCAACGTTGCCCCGTACAGGCTGACTTTACACGCAGTCATAAAACAACAGAATGTCAATGTCTGTTGGACGAGGTGGGCAATCCTCCAGGCAGTGTGCAATGGCGCTCGAGTAACGGGTTGGTACCTCAGCAACGCACGGTGTGGCTGGATCTTGATGATTTCAGTAAGTAAAGGACACAATTCTTTGTTTGCATGTGTCTTCGGTAATAGGCTACTCTTAAAGTTATATTACAGGACGCATTGATATTAGTTGTTGACATCAATGGCAGAAATGCTGGAATATATTTATTCTTGTATGACAAAGACACCATATTTGGGAGCCACATACGATAAAATAAAATGGTTTTGGTGGCAACACGTATGGATCTTGATCGTAATCAACTATAGGCTTATATTTAATTATTAAATTTTAAAATTGTACGTTTTTACTAGCACTTGTCATACATGTACAGTCAAATTTAATATATATATATATATATATATATATATATATATATATATATATATATATAGAGAGAGAGAGAGAGAGAGAGAGAGAGAGAGAGAGAGAGGGGGGAGAGATATATATATAGATAGAAATATATATTATATAGAGAGAGAGAGAGAGAGAGAGAGAGAGAGAGAGAGAATGAGGGGGGAAAGATATATAGATTAATAGAACTATATATTATAGAAAGGTTGATATCTTAAAATAAATTATTTTTTTAAAATAATAATAACATTCAGAAAACAAGAACTTTGTATTGAATAAGAGTGGGTTTCATTTTTAATTAATGATATCTATTAGAGACCGACCGAGTTTCGGCTTCGGCTTCGGTTTCGGTGCTGAAAGTGGCTATTTTTCACTTTCGGCAAAGTTTAGGTTTCGGCCAAAACTGAAAGTTAACTTTCGGCCTAATTTCGGTTTCTGTCGAAAGAGAAATGTTAACTTTCGATTTTTTTTTCGGTTTCGGCCGAAATTGAATTTGACTTTCGGCCATCCGGCCGAAAGCGACTGAGGTTTTCGGTAATCTAATACTCAGCGAAACCGATATTTAACAACAAACTAATTGATATTTAAGAAAAAACAAAACCATCTTTAAGAACAAATTAGCGATCTTTAAGAACAAATTGAGCGATCTTTGTGAACAAAGAAAAAGATATTTCACAACAAACTAAGCGACATTTAAGAGCAAACTAAATGATCTTTAAAACAAACTAAACGATCTTTAAGAACAATCTAAGTGATCTTTAATAAAAAACTAAACGATCGTAAAGAAAAAACTAAGCGATTTTTAAGAACAAACTAAATGATCTTTAAGAACAAAACAAATGATTTTTAATAGTAAAAACTAGATGATTTATAAGAGTAAACTTCTTCTTCTCTTTTTTTATTTTGAGGGCCCACGATCAATGAATTGACCATTCTGGCTCCTATGTTTCAGTGGGGTTTGCGATGTTACTTTCCATGGGTTTCAATGGGATGCTTCACTGGTTGCAAGGGCGACTCAGCTGTGTTGTTATGAACTGGGGGTTGGAATACAGGAGGCAATAGACACAAATGTCTCGAGTGTAGCCGCCTAAACTGTTGCTTTTGGAAGCTTGTTCCAGTCCCCTATTGTCTTCGACAGGAAAGAGGAGCTCTTGTACTTTGTTCTTGTTTTTACCAGCCGGAACTGTCTGTCGTGGCTTCGTCGGAGTCTAGGGGGAAGGTGAACGATTTTCTGTTTGATTTCGGAGCAGTGGATAAGCCCATTTTTTTATCTTGTACAGCATGGTGAGCATGGATAGTCGTCGTTCTTCCAATGTAGACCAGCGGAGTGTTTCTTGAGGTGTTTCTGTAGCGGTTCATGACAAAGCATGCTGCCCGTCGCTGGACGGCCTCCAACCTGTCGAAGCGATCTTTCACAGAAAACTAAATGTGCTTTAGGAACAAACTAAAAGATTTTTTAGAACAAACTAGTCGATCTTAAGGAAAAAATCGATTATCTACAAGAAAAAACTAAGCGATCTTTATGAAAAAAGTAAGCGATCTTTAACAACAAACTAAATGATTTTTAATAACAAACTAAAAGATCTATAAACACAAAATAAATGATCTTTAGGAACAACTAAGCGATATGTAAGAACAAAATCAAAGATCTTTAAGAACAAACTAAAGATCGTTATGAACAAATTAAACGATCTTTTAATAACCCAAACTAAGCGATCTTTAAGAAATAAAAATTACGATCTTCTTAACAAACTAAATGATCTTTAATAACAAATAAAAGATTTAAACAAAAACTAAGCGATCTTTAAGAAAAAACTAAGCGATCTTAAAAAAACAAAATTAACGATTTTTAACAACAAAGTAAGCGATCTTTATGAACAAAATAACCGATCTTTAAGAACAAATAAAGCGATCATGAACAAAAAACTGAATGATCTTTAATAACAAACTAAGCGATATTTAAGAACAAACTAAACGTTCTTTTTTTAACAACAAGATGTTTTATTAGATGTTTATTTATTAATATTCACGATTATCTCATTTTTTTTAATAAAAGGAATGTAAATATTATACTTTCCGAATCATTTTCGATGTATGCAGAATGTATGCGGGAACGAATTTCAAAATATCTAAATATTTCATTTTCGGTTTCGGCTTCGGTTTCGGCTGAAAGTCATATTTAACTTTCGGCCTTTTTTCGGTTTCGGCGGAAAATCATTTTAAAACTTTCAGCCTTTTTTCGGTTTTGGCCAAAAGTCATTTTAAACTTTCGGCCTATTTTCGGCTTCGGCCGAAATCAGAAAACATTTTCGGTCGGTCTCTAATATCTATATCATTTCGAGTTTTGAGAGTTTCGTTCAAATACATGCTTAAAATCGCTTACTATTAATCGTTTACAAAAAAATAAAATATTTAAAATATTTATTAAAATTAAATATATTTGATTATTTAGAAGCTTAATTCAATATGATTGATCACATGCACGGTCATGTATGACATTCAAATCATATAAACTGTATGCCCAACAGAAGCTAACGAAACGTTTACTTGCAAGCCACAGACTCCAATAGCCGACGACTTGCCGGGATACACATGGGCGCCTGTTTGGCAAGGTTCATTATATTATATCTCTTGATTTACCAAAAAATATACGCCAATGTAAAAGTAGAATATAATTAAAAGTAGTTTAGTGTTAGATATCAATTAAAAATTATTTAAAAAAAAAAATAATTTAAAAATTTAAATTTAAAAACAAATGATTGCAGGTCCTCCAGTTGTGGCAAATTTTACCGCGAATGGCAAAGAAAGAGAGCTTCAAGCCGGCTTGAACACACGCGTCACGTTGGATTGCCGACTTGGAGGCGCACCCCTGCATACAGTGGTCATTACCAAAGGAGTATTCAACTATCCCGTACCCACTAACGGCACATCATATTATGTATTCCACGTAAAGGAATGCACGGACTCGGCAACTTACACGTGCTTGGCGTTGAATACAATAGAAACAACTATCGACTCCAAAACGTTGCACATCTCGGTCAACTGTAAGTAGTTTTTAAACGCCCCCTCACTCCGCAAATCCGTGTTGAGAGAAAGGTATACGATAGATTTCGCCGTTTAAGAAATATATGTATATGCATTTGTCTTCGTTTTTCTTTTTTTGTGTGCTGTCCTCATTCGACTGTTCGTAGATTCTGCTGTTTGAATCTTGACATGACGCAACCTGCTGAATACCTGGATGACGGCCAACTGTTAGCGGACACCCGTTATTCAAATGTTAATATATGTTGTTGTTTTTCTGTTGTTTTTTGTTTGTTTGTTTTTTCCGACTGTTTTTTTTTTTTTTTTTTTTACATTTTTTTTTGGTCTGCCAAAATGAGCGTTATCACTGTGAAGTGCAGAAGTTTTCTTTAACATCAAAAAAATTACGACCCCAACGATTTTTTTTTTTGTTTTTTTTTTTTTTTTTTTTTTTTTTTCTTTTTTTTTTTTTTTTTTTTTTTACATTTTTTTATGGTCTGCCAAAATGAGCGTTATCACTGTGAAGTGCAGAAGTTTTCTTTAACATCAAAAAAATTACGACCCCAACGAATCAACATATATAAACGTGAAAATTTGTGGCAGTGTTTGTCTGTCTGTTTGTTCCCAAAAGGCTTTTGACAAGGATTGATGGATCTTTTTAAAACTTGGCACTTATATCCAGCATATCCGCAAAGAACTCTTAAGGGGAGGTTATGAAATTTTTAAAAAATTTCGTTTGTGGCCTGGGGCTCCAAATCCGTTTCTTTTTTTCTTATTTGAACTAGATACACAAAATATTTAGTTAGAGCTCCTACATGAATAGAAGGCTTGTTACCAAACTTATTACAATTACGATTAATTATCCATATGCAAACACCGATGGGTATTTAGCAAGTAATATCGATCCCTCTGGGGCCGGAGTCCCCATTTTATTTTCCCTATATAAGTTATATAAATATCAAAAAGCTTAGACAACATTATAGTTGATTCTAATTGACACTAATTCTATATGAATTGATGGATTTGGGCCTAGCGTTTTAGCAATACACTTCATTGTCCGTATTGAAATAACGGTGGATTTAAAAGTAATAATATTCCATGTACAATTTTCCAGAAATTTCGATATTTTAAAAGCTATATCTATGGCATTTTAAAGAATATTTTAATGGGACTAATTTTAAATTTTAACATTAATATTTATATGACTGATTTTTATAGGGCCCCTTATCTCAGGCATATCTATATCGGTACAGTTTTGGAATGGGGACCCTGGGGCACCTCGATTAACTTAAAAGAAAAGGGTTATAATTTTGGCATTTGTTGAAGATTTTTATTGTATTTGAAAAAAATAATGACATACTTAGTATTAACACCCGTTTCGCGCAGGTTATTTAATTTCATCTAGAATGTTCCAGAAAGTTCTAAATTGTTACAAGGGATATATAGTGGGATCTTAGGGATTATTGACATTTTAGTTAGTTCTATTCATTAATATACCGTCCAGGAGTTTACTGTTCTCTCAGTCACACTGAGTCCTTTTTTCATACGGGATCTAAAAGGGGTCGGGATCACATTGTAATCTTTATCCCAACGCTATCAGGATCCCGTCAGAAAGTTGGATCCTACCGGGATCGGGATACCAACCTTGAATGGATCCACCGGGATCGGGATAGCACCGGGAAACGGGACTGCGCCAAGATCGGTTTCAGAAAGGGATTATGGTTCCAATAGGATCGGAATCACACAAGGATAGGGTGTAATGCTATCCAGGCAAATGCCGGGTATGTCCGCTAAAAAAAGCTTTTGAATGGATTGATTGATTTTGACCAAATTTGGCATAAACATCCATCAATATCCTGTAGGAATTATTAAAGGGTGATAAACTTTTTTCTAACATTCTGTTTTGAGCTGGGGGCCCCGAATTTTTTTTTAACCAAGATGAGCTTTATAAAAAAAATTAACAATACACGCTCCTAAACGAATAAATGGATCTGGACATAAAATTTGTTTTAAGGTTATCTGCGCATTTTTGAATACATTTGAATAGTAAAAAAAAATGTATCTTCATTGCTTATCTGAATATTTTTTTTAGGGTCCCATATAAGGCAAAACTAATTTTGTAGAATTGTGGAATGGGCCCCTCTTTACCAATCTTTCAAATACAATTTAAGATAGTTTAGTAAATCATTTAGTTGTATGATATTTTGTATTTGTAGAATAATTACTTAGAATAGACATATTTTAGACGTTTCGAGGAGGAAATTACAGTTAGCCTATAATTTTCCAGGAAATTCTATAGGTCAATTTTCCTTTATAAAGCGATGAAGCTTAACCAAAATTAGTAATGAAAATAATAAATAAGTTTATTTGAAAATCTCACTTCATCCCCAAAGGCTCAAAGCGCACTAAATCATATCGATGGATTTACAGACTTTAAAATTGAAACAACGCCTTTGTCAGTGAACTTTGAAAGAGAATACACTCAGTGAAACAGGTACCGCTTCCTGGATCAAGCCACTAGAAGAAATAGGCATTAATCTCAAGTCGAGCCAAAGCTCCAAATGTAGGCTCCAGCCCAGCTGAATTCTACAAAGAAAAGGCTGCAGTTCTGCAAGGCCCCACCATCTGTTCTTTCTAATTTTACAGCTATTGACGTTCCTGCAGGATTTCGGCAAAACCGCTATCATTCACTGCGCTCTGGTGTTCTTAAATCGAATCTTTCAATGCAGCTGATGAGATCTCGCAGAACTGGGTGATGTGGTCATATTTCTTTATCCGCGATACACTGGTTGGTTGTTGTGAGTGAAAAGTTTAGCTAAACAATATCAAACTATTCAGGAATGACAAATTAGAGTGAAATATTCCACAATTTGAACATGTTGAGAGATTTCACTGTTTCTTTTCAAGCGACTCGTGAACCGGAATTATTTGATAATAGCGTTAACTGGTTTTGTTTATATTAAGTCATAAATAGAATGGAAAACACATGATTAAGTCCACCAATTCTTAGTTATGTTCGAAATAAATTATATTCATACGTCAAGGAGACTTTCAAATACCACTATATCCAACTATCAAGATTAAACTTGAGAGAAACATTCCAATAAATGAGAAAATGTAGAGCAATTTTACCGCTGCCTTTTAGGCGCTTGTGAACCGGAACTACACACACATCTATTAGATTATCTATATTCAAATAACAAAGGGCACTGAGCTCAAAATATCCATTACTCGGGGCCCTGGTGCCTTCTTTTATTATTCGTTATATGAGCTATATAATTACCAATAGGCTTAGAAAACATTATAATTTCTATGTGAATAGTTGATATATGCCTAGCGTGGTAGCAATACAATTGGCATTTTTTATTGATTTTATGGGTACACATTTTAAATTTTAGCTCGAGAAATTATCCAAATGATTTTTAAAGCCACCTCTCCCCCTCTATCTCATACATTAATGAAACGATACTTTATTAAATAGCCCCCCAAAAAGGGCACTTATTTGAGATTAAATGTAATATAGTTATAGTAATACAATTAAGTTATATGAAATTACGCATTCGAGAAATAATTACGTAGGAAAGTAATTTTTTGCACTTTTCTCGTAAGATATTAATTTTAACCTAGAATGTTCCAGAACCTTATACATTGTTCTATGGGGACATATAATAAGATCTAAAAGCTTATTCAAAATAAATCGCACTGAGCATAGTGCCATATAGGAACAGGATCTTAATGGGGAACGAGATCTAACAGCCAACCGGAATACATCGGTAACTCAATACAATCGTGTAACGCGATCAAACCGGGTTTGGCATCCTGTCGGGAACCGGGATAAAATCGAGAAAAGGGGATCCTCTGTTGGAACGAGATCCCACAGAGGATGGTTTCCTATCGGGATCGGTAGCCCACTGGGATCGGGATCCACCAAGATGGGGATCCCATTGAGATCGAGATACTAACGTGATCGGGATAACGCCACGATTTGGATTCCACCTGGATCCGGAGAAACCAGAACACGGGATACATCCTTGTTTGGGATCACACCAGGAATGAGATTTTTGTGCCAATGGGATCGGGGTCCCACTAGGATGGGGTCATAATACAATTCCGGCCATGCCGGGTATATTAGCTAGTAATTATTCAAAACTGTAATTTTTTTCCCATTGAACCTTTGTTCATTTCAGGTCCTCTGCAGTTTCTCGACAAGACTGTATTACCCATCACAGTGAAATCAAACGTCAAAGGACATGTTGACGTACACTTACACATAGTAGGCTATCCTAAGCCCACTACATTCTTACTCGTGAAAAAAAACCATAACAGCCGTGAAGATTTAATGTATTCGAATGATTTTTATGTTGAATATTCTTTTTCGGAGGATCACACTATGGATCTTGTGCTAACCGTCAGGGGTGTATGGAACACAGCGAACTACACGTTTACCGTGGGGAATGGCTTGGGTCAACCGCTAGACGTGGACATTTCCATCTCGATTCCGGGTAGGTGGTTATTTAGTGTTAATGTCTTACAGCATACAAATTTACATTGTAATCAACTGAACATTAATTGTAATTAACTAATTATTAAAAAAAATATTTTTTTTTTAAAAACATGAATGAAAGCATTCATCCCTCACCCCATGAAAATGAGACCCATCAACCTTGGCATGAAAATCAACTTAAATAAGGAAAGAAAAAACGTTTAATTAAACCGATGGATGAAGTCCCGTAGGTTTTTGTTTCACATAACCTCAAGGAAAATATAGTCAAGCTGTATCCTAATTTTTATTTTCCCTGACGTTCGCAAGATGCTTTGACAGATGGGATTTGTTGAGAAGTGATCGAGATTATTTTCCTAACATATTTTATAGGTCTAATCATTTCGTCCTACGAAGAAAACTCTCTAAATCTTCGTCAAACTGTGACGGACGAATGTCTAAAAATTGTTTAGATAATAAATAAACAAAAAAATAAATAAATAAATAAATAAATATATATATATATATATATATATATATATATATATATATATATATAATATTATCAAACAAAGCTTTCTTATTAAACATAAAAAAATATAACTTTTTTTTTTTTTATTTATATATATATAATGTTATCAATCAAGGCTTCCTTATTAATCATAAAAAGTTTTAACTTGTTTTTTTTTTATAAACAACCAATAAAACTTTGATGCTAAAGTAAATCAATGGATGAAGTTAGGTCGTCTACACTTCATAGTTCTTTGACGTTTTAATTCTGCATCACAGAAGACGAATCTTCAGATGTAAATATTGGAGCTGTTGTTGGCGGTGTTATGGGCGGCCTTGCTGCAATAGTTTTTGTGGTGTTTTTTAGCTATTGGATACTTCGAAAAAGGAAGAATCGCAGGTAAATAAATCAGACTAAATATATATCTTTTAAATAAAAATATTTTAATCTTATTTTTTCTTTCTTAAATCACCGTTAGCTCTTGGATTCAATTAATATATGAAGGAACGCGTTAAGACTGTGTGAAAGTAATACTAGAACAGGATTTGTAGAAGCGTGCAAAGGGGACAAATCAGTACTATTGAATAAAAGTTTTGCATTGTTGCCTTCGCATAAGGTGCAAAATAAAGTTTAAATCGTTTGAAAAATCATGTTCTGTGAGCTCCTAGTAGAACGCGCGTTGCGTTTCTTTAAAACAATGATCTTTTTGGAGATGAGGTGTTTCAGAAGCATTCTTGGAATCTGCTATAGAGAACACATCTCTAACGAACAAGTATACGAAAGGATTCGTCAAGCAATTTGGCAGTACAATTACCCCAGTGACCGTAACAAAGCACAAAATGGAAGGGTATTGCTACGTGGCAAGAAAACAAGGGCTCGCAAAATGAAATCCTGAAGGGCACAACGAGAGGAGGGAGAAGAAGAGAAAGACAGAGAAAAAGATGGGGAGAAAACATCATAGATTGGACGGGTCTAAAATTTGGCCATGCTATGCGAAGTGCAGAAAACAGAGAGGAGTTAAGAAGGATCATGTACATGTCATTTTGGGCACCGAAACGGTGCAAGAACTAAGGGACATGATGATGATGATGATTATGATGAACACATTTGTAATATATTTCCGCTTAAGGCAAGTTAGTTCTTTGAATTTCTAATTCTATGTTGTTGTTTTTTCTTAATTTTTTTAAAGGTTTCATTTAATTGCTCACGAATGCCTCTAACCAAAACTTTTATTTAATTGCCCCTTTTTGTCCCTTTTGAATGCTTCTTCATTTGTTCATAACCTTTCTTTCAAAAACATTGGATATCTATTTATTACAAATTAAATATGTGTGAACGAGCAGCGTAAATTGACAAACACCAAAAAGGAGCTCGTGGTCTGGAAATCGAGCCTCACCAAAGTCAACATACTAATCATCCCTGCGGGATGGGATTCGCTTGCCTTGGACGGCAGCTCATCTAAGAGAAGGAAAACACCGAATTCAAACTAGGAGCCTAAATGATCAGTAAATTGATCGCGGGCCCTCAAAAATAAGAGGAAGCAAAAGAATAACTTTTAAATCACTCTCTAAATATTTTACTAGAATCAACAAACATGAACAAATTATCTACCTTTAAATTTATTGAATGTTTTATTTTTTTTAAAAAGCTTGTACATTGGCTATTAAAAAAAAAAAATCATTTCGCGCCAGTATGGTGGCAAGTCTTAAGTCTTCATTTTGTTCAAGGATTTTAGCTACTTAAAAAAGCATCATTTATGTGTGGAATGAGGCTCTCAGTTCATAGCTGGAGACTACGTAGTGCAATATTTAAACTCACCTCCCGGTCGACAGGCAAATATAAATTTAAAGCACTAAAAGTTTTCACAAATAAATAAACATGGTTAAAACTATTACACAACTTTTCATCAAAATCTAGCATAATTGTATCAGTGAACTAAAAACAACTCTTCAAACGAAGGCGTCCAAATTGCTTCCCTTCGTGAACTTCCCATCCCACTAAACTTACTAAAACAACATGCATTCAAGTAACTCACTTTATAAGAATACCAATTAGTGCTAACTTCATGGAACTTTATTATGCTCGGCTATTTCGTGCAACTATAAAACACAGGATTACAGCCCTAAATAAAAGCCTAGAGAATTATTTTGTGCAACTGTTGAACACAGATTTTACAGCCATACCTGCATACCCAGAGAATGATCCCGTGCACGTCTTCAACGCAGTGTTACAGCGATAGGTACATACCTTAAGAATTATCTTTTGCCCTGCTAGTGTGTTTTGCATATATTTTCGAAAATTAAGTTACACCTACATATCATTATTTTCTCAATAGATCCAACGAAGCTAACCATGAGGACAATATTCATATTTCACGGATGCTAGCTGAACAAAATGGGATAAATGTTAGAATTTAATAATAAGCAACATAACCAATGATGCACTTTTCCTACCCTATTTTTAGTATGGATCGGGAAAATGTCCAATCGCCAGTTGTAGAATGTGATAAACATAGCACGCATTGATATGTGCGTTATCTTTTTTTTCTATTTAATAAAATAAAATAATGATAATTTTTTGTAGAAACTAATTTATTTCTAAAATGAACACTTTTAGAAAAGAAGTGTATCACTATTCTAACTAGATACCCGAAGCAGTAAACGTTATGTCTTTTTATCAGCTTTGTATCATATTATTTGTTTGAATACCATGGTGATGTAAGACTTTCCAAATACAATGTTGGACATTTGCATGGTGCATACTTGTTTTTTTTTTACACAATTGTTGTGATGCAACTGCTATTTTTACAACTGCCTAGCAATTGCTGTTGCATGCTCACTTCAATCGTGATTTTAGCAGTTGGAATGAAATAGGAGATGCCGTTGCTTGCATGTCTTAGCTACTTGCAAAAACGATTGAGTTTATAGGTGCCCCAAGCTTTTTAGTCATATGACCGTAACAACTTTGCTGTTTCGGGGTCATTTATTTCATACTTTTGAATATACTTTAGTAGGTTTGATAAACAAAATATTTATATAGTTGTTTTTTTTAACGTTACACCTTCTGGTTTATGGTTTCTGTAGCAGTGATTAGCTATAAAGTATTGGGAGCAAACAATATCAATCACAGATTCCCAAATTATTTCAACATTTTCAAAAAGCAAAGTAGACTGAAGACCCAATACATCTAAATTAGAGCTCAGCTAATAAAAATTTTTTTTTTTAAATTTAAAAATTTAACTAATTATTTTTTAAAGATATAATGTTTAGTTTCCCATTCTTTAACAAAGTATCTTGTCCCTTCACTTCTACCAGCTATGTTTCCCCACTTGTCAACCAGCTATGTTTCCTAGTCTTCTAAGAGGTATGTTGCTATGACTTATAGTAGCTATGTTGTTTCACTCCTCTATTAGTTATGGTTCCCCATTTTTCTACCAGCTACATTTCCCCACTCTCTTACCATCTATGTTGCCTTACTCGTCTACCTGCTATGTTCCTGCAGTCTTCAACCAGTTATGTGTAACTATTGTTTTACCTGTTATGTTGCTGTTGAATTCATGGCTAGGTAATAGGCTGTAGAAGTGACAATAAGACACTTATTTTTTGTTCAACATTTAACACCCAACCCTTTAAAACAACACTCCCCATTTTTAATCTAGTGGAGCTAGAAATATATATATATATATATATATATTTATATATATATTAATATTAATTTTATCAACATAAAAAAACGAAGAAATTCATATTGTATATTTTAAATTGTAGATAAGTATAATATGCATGTTATATAGTGTTCACATTATTGTTCTTCTTACATGTCGTTACAAAAATGAAAATATTAAACAGAACCAAAAGAATCATTGTGCAAATCTTATTTTTTTTTCGCTTAAATGTATTCGTTTAAAAATTTGGTGTGTATTTCTGTTAACACACCAGGTCACGAAATTTTATTATTCTTCGTATCTCGGTGCTTTCCACCCCCTCCCCCCCCCCCCCCCCCCCCCCCCCCCC